ACTGAAAGTCAAAGATAAACTCAGACCAACTCAAACTGTGTAGGTAGGAAATGTCAGAGCTGAGCGGGGAACCCAGGTCTTCAACCTACTTCGGGAGGGAAACAATCTGAGTAGACTCAGGTGTAGCTGCCTGGCCCTGGAGGAGTTGTGTCCATGGGACCCTGGGAGCTATGGATGGGGGAGTGGTGGGCGAGGACCATCCCCAGGCCCACCAGCTAGCAGCTTTTGCAGGAAGGGGAGCTCACCCTTTGCTTGGCTCTTGCCTCTACTGCTAGAGTGTTTCAAGCACAAGGATACAGTAAAGCCAAGATCAAACTTTTAGTTGAGGCAACAAAGAGGCAGAAAGTTCGCAAACACGTAAGTCTTAAATTGACACATTGTGTTCAGGAACTAGGTCTCTGAGTTTGGAGGAAAAGGGATATGCCAAGGATCCAGGTCACAGACTGGACCAGGATGGTCAACTAATGTCAGGGAGAGCCCCTGGCAAGCTGGGCTGTCTGTTGTTATTCCACTGACCTCCATCTTTCTTCCCTGTAGAGTTCCATCATACATGGACTCTCCACAGGAAGCTCATGGTCCCCAGTAACCCCCAGACTCTAATGGCTTATTCCAGACTCCAACCCTTGGCTCATTCTTTTCCCATCCTCTCCACTTATCCAGAGCCCACCCATCTGTAAAATGATGTGAATATGGAACTCTTCTTTTCTTCGTACTTTTGGAAAAGCCTGCCAAGGGTAAAATCTTTGTAATAGATGATGCTAAATCCCCCATATGCCAATACTAGGTCCTAGAAAATCCAGGTCATGCTAAGAGAAAGCAAAACCTGTTCTGCCCATCACCCTCCTCCTTCCTATAGAGGAGTTGAGTTGAAGAGAGGAGGAGGGAGAATTTTTTTGGAGATAAATATCAGTGAGCTCTTTCTGTATCTTCTTCTTTTTTTTTTTTTTGCTTGACGAAGATTAGCCCTAGGCTAACATCTGTGCCAATCTTCCTCTATTTTGTATGTGGGACACTGCCAGAGCAGGGCTGATGAGTGGCATAGGTTTGTACCCAGGATCAAACCCGTGAACCTGGGCCGCCAAAGCAGAGTGCGATGAACCTGAACCACTACGCCATGGGGCCAGCCTCCTGTATCCTCTTGAAGTATATCAATCAGAGAGCTTGTGTCCCCTAGGTTGGGAGATGGGACAAAAGAATTATGTGAGAAACTGTAACTAGATTGGCCTTAGACAACAGGGAGGGAGAGAAGGCAGCACTTTCACTCTCAATGGAGGGGGAGAGGGAAGGGGGCAAAGGTCCGTGCTTCCCATGGACCAGATGTGCAGATAAGACTGGAGCCATATCTGAAAGAGACTCCACCCCAAAGGGCAGCCTGGAGTGGTGAAGGGACCCAGAAGAGGGGCAGAGGAAGGAATTCCAGAAGCCCAGGGTCTGAAGGGCTTTTAGGGGGCTCTGGGTGCACCACAGACATTGCAATTGAATTGCCCCAGAAAGGAAAATTCAGAGAGAGTCTGCTTTAAGCACAGCGAGCTCAGGGTCAGCCAGGTACAGCTGGGCTCTTTCCCCTAACCCAGGGTTTTTTTAAGCTATGCACTGTGAAAGCAAATTAGTGGATGATGATCAGCTTCAAAAATAATAATAAATTAGAATATGATGGAAAATATCATGTAATTTGGGTAAGTATTGTTTCCTGAAGCTTTTGCTTCAGGTTTATAAATTGGTGTTGGTGTAAATTTTATTTTTTTATTGTGGATCGCAGTCCAAAAATGTTTGAAAGTTCCTGTTTTTATTTGCTCTCCTTGTGCCTAGTTGTTCTGGAGAGATTAAGCCGCTGCAGTCAGGGAGATTAGGAACAGGCCTCTGGAGCCAGTTTGTGTGAAAACTGGGGCCAGTTATTTTACCTCTCTGTGGCTTGGTGTCTTATCCTTAAAACACAGACAACAACCCTGGCCACCTCACAGGGTTGTTATGACAGTTAAAGGCATTAAGCAAATTGATCAATGCCAAGTGCTTCTAAGAGTACCTGAAGAACAGTACGTACTTGATAAAAGCTAATCACTGTTGTAATGGTGGTTATTTCTTCCCGTGGCCCGAGATAACATTGTAACTTTAGGACACAGCAAATTCTCCCCTAGACTATATGCAGACAGCCCAGTTTTTTCAGCTGTAGACAATGATTTCTGTGAGCCAAGAGGCATGCCACAAATATTTATGGAGCAGCTATTGTTACTGAGCAAGGACTCGCCACCCAATGCACAAAGAAGCTGATACCGCGGTACACCAGTCTTCGAGAGAAGAAGCAGTTTATTATTCAATTGATTGGTAAGGAGGCAGAAGGACAGGCTCTCAGCTCTCTCTGCTGGATCCAGGGTATGGGGTAAAGTTTAAGGATCAGGGAGGGCAGGTATGTGGAAGTGCTGGCAGGATGAGTTTCAATTGGCAGATAGAAATTTTATCTTCTGCACATACTCCTGGCTGGCTTGCAGCCCCTGAAAAATAGCTGTAACATTCTGCCGTAAAGATGAGGTCAGCGCAGTAAACAAGAGTAAAGTTGTTATGTAGATTTAAGTCATTGCCCTCTCTATTGATGGGAGTGTCTAGAGATTTAGTCATCCACTCCTTCCTGGCACAGAGAGGAAGGCACCCTTACAAATGGAGATTTTACAAAAGGAAAAGAGAAAAATATTTCCTTAAATCTGGAAAAAAATGAAACATCAAAAAATCAGCAATATGTCAAATGAAAAGTCATAAAAATTATAATCATCCTAATCATTTCTTTTTTTTTTTAAATTGCTTGTTGTGTCTTTTTTTTTTTTTTTAATTTTATTTTTCCCCCAAAGCCCCAGTAGATAGTTGTATGTCATAGCTGCACATCCTTCTAGCTGCTGTATGTGGGACGCGGCCCCAGCATGGCCGGAGAAGTGGTGCGTCAGTGCACGCCCGGGATCCGAACCCGGGCCGCCAGCAGTGGAGAGCACGCACTTAACCGCTAAGCCACGGGGCTGGCCCTCTAATCATTTCATTCAGTCCTGTATAATTGATTCTTGATCTTAATCTTCTGTTAATAGTTTCATGAAGTCATCAGTTTCTCCATTAGAGTTCTGTAATTTCTTACCCAGTTCAGTTTTATGATCTGAAACGTTATCAAAAACCTGTGTTCTAGAGTAAATGTCAGAGTCCTTTCCATGAATCTGTCTGCAGATGAAACATATTTGCAAAAGCATCCAAGTAAAACAGCAACAATCTGCAAATGACAAAAGAACTTAATATAGTAGGTCCCTATGAAACAACGCTTAGTTATCCACTTAACCATGGTGACAAGTAAAGATTTTCAGGCCAGTGCAGAAAATTAAATATCTGTAAGAAAAACCTTAGCACATGTGATTAAAGATCTGATAAAAACAATGCAGGAGATTTATTTTGCTAAAACATAAAATCCCTACCCTTCTGGTAGGCTACTCAAAGAAAAAAAGCTTTCATAATTTTTCTATCAAGAGCAGATTAAAAGTTCAAGAAAATGATCCTTTTAAGAGAGAGAAAACCAAATTCTAATTTTGTACCACCTTACTTTTGATGTTAAAACTCATTTACTTAATTTTCCTTCAATCTTAGACAACTTGACCATGCACAAAGCTCTTTTTTAGGGCTCCTCTTCCACAAACCTTCTATAACTTTCTTTTTACATTCAGAATTTGTCCATGCCTTCCGCCCCACCCCGTCCCCACGCCTCCCCCCCTCCCAGTATTTTAGGACAAATTTATCTTTCTTAGCAAAACAAACAAAAATATTTTCATTATTTATACCTTCTTTACTGAAAACATACATCTTACTTTCCTTGAATAGAAAGATGTTTTCCTTACTGATTTTTAGTAGCTTTAATTACATATATAAATTAGAATTTTTAACCTGTACAGATCTTAATTTTTAATGAAAACTAAAAGTAAGCAATTATGAACTGTCTTTTACATTAGTATTTTAAACATGCCTCATAAGTTCTAGAAACATGCTACTTCATAGTACAATCTTTTAATAAAATATGACATGTTTACTAATAGACCCAAACATTTTTTAGTTTCTCTGTAATTAGAAGCCAAAAATAGATAAACTTAGACATATTTAGCGATAATATTTCAGTATATCTTATTTGAGAATGACCCAGATATTCAATGAATTTTTTATCATTTAGTTTCACCTAGCAAAACTTCAAAGTTTTAAGTTACCAGAGAGATTTTGGAAGTTATCTTAAATATACATGCCATAACACATAAAAAGTTAACCCAGTATATTTTTTTTCTTTTTTTTTTCTTTTTTTTTTTTTT